CAAGCCCCACGACCGACAAAAAAAAAAAAAAAATAAGGTTACTTAGAGTTTTTTGTTTCAGTACCTTTTGCTAAAACCATTCTTCAGTGAAAATATATAATAATGAAAATACAACCAACCAGTGACTGTATTTTCTTCCCACCTAGGATGTGTCTAGTCAGAATGAAGCAGGAAGGTCGGAGTGGGAAATATATGTGTCGCATCATCGTTCATTTTATGTGGGAAGATGTGGAGCAGCGTGGTAGAATCATGGGGGTAAGTGCTTGCCATCACATTCTGGTCCTGGACAGCTGTGATGACAAGTTGCATGCCTTGAGTTTGGGGTTTTTCTGATTTAGAATGGCCTTTGGGGTTTCTCTAGAGGCTGCCTGTGTCATGAGGTCATTTAGCTGGAGTAATTCTGCCTCTGTGGAGACTGACATGTCACTGATAATTTATGTGTTTATACACATGGTTGTGGCTTGTTGGCATGAGGGTGTGTGTGTGTGTGTGTGTGTGTGTGTGTGTGTGTGTGTGTGTGTGTGTGTGTGTGTGTAGATGGGATTATAAAGCCTAACCCATGGTGATAGGAGTAAGGGAAAGGGTGAATGGAAGGAATCAGAATCTGGTTTAAGGACACTATGCTTTTGACACTAATTTAATATTTGAACTAGTCTAGTTTTAATGGAAATATCTTGGTATGAAGATTTGAGTCATTGAGACCTGAAAAGCAAACTTTTGTGTGGGGTGTATGTGTGTGCGCGCACACACACATGAGTGTGCATGTGTACCGGTCCTGGGGCTTGAATTCAGGACCTGGCACTGCCCCTGAGCCTTTTTTGCTCAAGGCTAGTTCTCTACCACTTGAGCCACAGCTTACTTCTGGCTTTTTGGTATTTAATTGAGGATAAGGGCCTCATAGACTTTTTTGCCTGGGCTGACTTTGAACCATGATCCTCAGTCTCCTGAAAAGCTATGATTATAAGCATGAGCCCTCAATACCTGGCCCCAGAGCAAACTTCTTGATCACTAACTTCTTGATTATAGGCTGATGCCTATAATGTTATTTACTCAGGAGGCTGAGATCTGAGTATCACTGAAAAAGCTAGTCATTGAAAAAACCAAGCTACGGTATGAGACCCTGAGTTCAAGTCCCAGTACCAGCCCCCAAACTAAAACAAAAGTGTATTAACATAACTTATCTTATGCACATTATTCTGAGTCTTTGATATTTCATTCACTTAATATATAATAGATATGTCCAACTGAATCTGAAATCCCTTAATCATCATTCTGAGTCCTTACTATTGACTTTCTTCTAAGAAGAATCCATTTTTTCCATTTTGGTGTATATTTTTTAAGACTTCCTTATGTTATTCATTGAAGCAAAACAACAACAACAACAAACTCAAATAACACTAGTAAAATCGCTAAACTGTAGTATTGGGTTTGATAAAGAAACAACTTTAAGGAGGAAGGGGTTATTTTGGCCTCAGGGTTTCAGAGGATTCATTCTATGGTTGCTTGGCTCCATGAAGCTGTGGAACAGAAGATCATGGCAGCAAGAATGTGTGGCAGAGCAGGTTGCTCCCTTCATGGTGGACAGAGAACAGAGAGGGACAGAAAGGGTCCCTGGACCTTTTCTTAAAAGTAAAACCTATGCCAGGCACTGGTGACTCACACCTGTAATCCTAGCTACTCAGGAGGCTGAGATCTGAGGATCGTGGTTCAAAGCCAGCCTGGGCAGGAAAGTCCGTGAGACTCTTATCTCCAATAAACCACTAGAAAACCGGAAGTGGCACTGTGGCTCAAGCAGTAGAGCCCTTGCCTTGAGCTGAAGATCGCAAGGACAGCGCCCAAGCCCAGAGTTCAAGCTCCACGACCGACAAAAAAAAGAAAAAAAAGTAAAACCTATGTTTTACTTTTACTTTTACTTTTATAATTCACATATGCTTGTGCCATTGCCTCTTGGCATCATGTGCTTTTTCTGTATAAATTGTAATCTTTGAGATGATCATGGGAGGGGATAGTTGCCCTTTGGGAACCTTAGTTGAGGGTTTTTTTTTTTCATATTTTCCTAATATCTCTGATGGAACTGGTATATAGGAAGCTAATGGCATGAATTTGTCTTTTAAGTATCTCTGTTGACATTTACACATCGTTCTCTGGGACAACAGACCAGTGACATTTCATTCAAGGAAAAGGAAATGTATTGAAGTTTCATTGGCTATCATCATCATTATCATTCATTTTGAAGTCAATATTGAGCTCTCTTTGTAATTGCCTTCTTTGGCTCCTGTTTCATTTTTCTCACTGCTGTGCCTGCTGGCTGTCTTAGTTGCCCTGAGTGAGATCAGCAACCTTTAAGCTGTTCACACAGCTGGTGTTCTCCATGCCCTCAGTATTTGCTACCCAAATTTTGTGGCAGCACACAGTAGACATAGGGTAGGGTTGGCTGTCTCAGATCATCCCGTTTAATGATGACCCAGTGATACCCTCTAGCTAGCCAAAGCCTTGTCTGACCGCCAGGCAGTTATGCGGTGAACCTGTTTTTCTTATCACTGTTGACTAAACTCTCCTAGAAGTGGGGCCACTAGAACCACATGGGCTACAGCTGTCCCATCTTAAATAACTTAGTAAGCCATAAATTTCTGACTTCTGGACCACAATAATCTTTCAATTGCTCCCCTCCCCCATGAATTTCTCATGGACCTCTGTGTAGCCATCATAACAGTCAGCACCCTATGGGTTACTTTGTATGTAATGTTTCTTTTACTTAACTATAAGCTTTATAAAATCAAGAAACTATCTGATTCAGTGTTTTGCTTATGTGACAGACATTAATTGGTAACTGCTACTTTTCCAATGAACTATTTAGCCTCTAGAATTCTGTTTTTTTGTTTTGTTTTGTTTTGTCAGTCTTAGAGCTTGAACTCTGGGCCTGGACACTGTCTCTGAGCTCTTCAACTCAAGGTGAATACTCTACCACTTGAGCCACAGGGCCACTTCCGGTTTTCTGATGGTTAATTGGAGATATAAGTCTCATGGATTTTGCTGTCCAAGCTAGCTTTGAACTCCGATTCTCAGATCTCAGCCTCCTGAGTAGTTAGGATTACAGGTGTGAGCCACCAGCGCCTGGCTTAGAATTCTGTTTTAAAGCTAACTTATTTAATCACATAAACCCTACTTGATTAGGATCCTGTCCAGGTGTACATCTAGGGCAGTCCTACAGGAGTCTTTTTTTTTTTTTTTTGGTCTCCCATTCTAGCCAGTCATTTTTAGAATTTGGGTTGTTCTAGGTAGGGTGCTACCCTATTGGAATGTGCTACGTAAGTGTCTAATATATTTTATGTGCCTACAATTCACCTGAAGATCTTGTTAAACTATAGATTGGGGTTCAGTAGGTTTGGGATGGAACCAGAGAGTCTATAGTTCTAACAGGTTTCTAGATGTTGCCAGTGTTACTAGTGCTGCAACATGGAGAAGGGGCAGCCACACAAATGCAAAGTTTTAGGTGATTCTGCTAATATTGCTTTTTAAACTGCCTTATCGAAGAGAAAGGCATAAGCTTTGGTTTAGTCCCACTGATTATTTTAAAAGATGATGATTTAAAGATAGAAGTTTTAGGAAATGGAGCTATGGTAGAGTGCTAACCTTGAGCACAAAAGCTCAGGCCTCGAGTTCAAGCCCCACAGCCATCAGAAAAAAAAAAAAGGAATTTTTAATAAAAGTTAAAAGTAATTTGGGGGATTACAGTTACTACTTTTCAATTATATTTTACTTGATCCTCCTTCCCAACCTCAAAATATAAATAGACCTCCTTTGTATAGGAAAGACAGTTGTGTGGTAACTAGTTGTTGTTGTGTGTGTGTGTGTGTGTGTGTGTGTGTGTGTGTGTGTGTGTGTGTAGGGGATCTCAGTCTTCTGTAAGTAAACAATCTGAACCAGTGGGACATGTAGCTAGAGAACAGTAGTAAGCAGCATGGAACTGGTCTGAGCTGCTTCTGACAGTGGTTGGCAAATGTTTCCTCTTCTAAGCTTCAGTTTCTTTATTAAAAACAAAAACCAGGTGGTAGTGGTAGTGGGGTACCTATGCAGTTTCCAAGTTTCTTTCTATAGCTTTGAAAGCCTATGATTTGAAGGTGGTAATTTGCAAATCTATCTCTGTGTTATTTGGCATCCCAGGTGTGCCTCTAAAAGAAAACTCATATAAAAAGTAAATTTTATAAATCCAATCAAATCATTGTAGTGATAATTTTTTTTTCATGCCAAAGAATTCTTGGAGGCTGTTACTTTAAATGGATTAGTCTGGGACCGATCCAAGACCAGGAAGGCCACTAGCAAGTTCTTGAATCAGAACTTTGAATGAGGAATGTCTTTGAAATTAGAATTCCAATCAAGCACTCCTTTGACACTAGGATTTCTCATAGGTGGGAAAATTTTGACTTTACAAGTTTTCCTTTTTCTCAGCTTTTTAGGTATGCAACTATTGTGAAAAATGGGTAGATTCATATGTCATTAGTGAGGCAGGTAAAAAAGCATGTGTTAAATTTGAAGTTACAAAAAATCACATCAATAATTTAGTGTTCTGACTTTAAAAAAAACATTATTTGTGATTTAAGCTTATGAATTAGCTGTGGAAATAAAGTTCATTATATCACCTCATCTGGTCTTGTTTTATTTCATTAACCAGTTCTTACAAACCTTTGTGAGTTGAGTTGCAGCTGAAGAGGTTGGAGACCGTTTTTCCTTGGGCCCTTGCCGCACTCCTGAGTGTTAGTAAGAGCAAGAACTGAGACCTGACACAGCTGTAAAAACAGACAGCGCCTTTGGCCTCAGCACTTTCTCCTGATGCAGGCAGATTTCAGATGTAAATTTTACCCTGCCTCTCTTACTAATGAAGTAAGTTTCTTTTGCTGGGTTTGCAGCCAGGTGTGTCCAGTCTTGTGGCTAACCAGGGTGCTTTACTTCATTTTTCCATTTGTGACATTTCAACCAAACTTAAAAAACATAAAAACTAGCTCAAGGCAGTGGCACATAGTGTTAATGGTAACCTTAGGCTGGCTAAATGACTTCCTCTCAGTTCTGTTTTGCCAGACATCTCCACCTTGTAAGGCTTACAATGAGCAGGAGACATTGGCAGGAAGAGGTCAAGAGGGCCATAGTTAAGAAATTCCAGTTTATCAGTTCCCTCGGCAAGACTTCTGATGATGTCTCGCAAGTAGTTCCAGAATAAGGATTGAACCCCAGTCACCTCCTGTAGCAGGGATGGTGCA